TTCAAAATTTTGCCTATGAAACCACTCTTGGTGCTCTAAGAAAAAAGATTCTACTCATAATTTTGGTATAGATTTTGCTAATATCCTTTCTATCACTTCCCAATCTAGCCATAACATTTAAAATTTGTTTAATATAGACCGATGTTGATCAATTAGCATAACCTGTCACACATTTAAGTTCTGCATACACAAAAGCGGAATTCTGATTTACCTACCATGGTCGTACAGTGTATACATTTCTGTACAACTGCGACATACAAATTATAAATGATAACGATAACGATAAAATCTAAAATTTAAATTATTATACGCCGATACTACCATATTTATTTCGCTTAAAAAAAATGTTTATCTAAAATGACGACAAAAATTCTTGAAAAACTTTCAAAAGATTATATAAAACTTCTTAACGATGAAGAAGATTTTAATGTAGTCATTTTCGCCGGAAAATCACCAAATGTCAAGACATTTAAAACACATTCTTCCATTTTAAAATATCGGTCTTCATATTTTCGTGATGAATTAGCAAAAATTAACAAAGATAAAAATAATATTAAAGTGATGAATTTAAACCATGTTTCTATTCAACAATTTGAAATCATTATCAAGTAAGTTATTAAATGGTTTGATCTATATTTTTATATTGTTATACACGGTACAGTATCTTTTAACGCTAATTTTAATTGAAGGTATATATACGGGGGTGTAGTTTTGTTAGAAAATCTTGATCCATCATTTATTTTTGAGCTAATTTTTATTGCCTGCGAATTCCTTCTTGATGACTTAGCCAAATATCTTGAAACTCATTTGATTGGAACAAAAGATCACTGGCTTCGTTCACATTTTATTCATGTTTATCAAAAAAGTTTCAAAAATAATATTTTTCAGGGATTACAAAAATGGTGCAATAATGTTATAGTAAAATATCCAAGTCGAATTTTTGATTCCAATGCTTTCATTTTACTTCCTGAAAATGCATTAGTATCACTTATCGAACGAGATGATTTACAGGTGGAAGAAATAAAAATTTGGAATTATGTCATCAAATGGGGAATCGCTCAAAATCCTGATTTACCGTCCAATTCCAAAGATTGGTCTTCTGAAAATTTCCTAGCCTTAAAAACTACTTTACGAAACTGTTTGCCACTTATTAGATATTTCCAAATGTCTGGTGATGATATTTATAATCAAGTATATCATTATAAGCAAATACTTGATAAAGACCTTTGGAAAGATGTAAAGAAGCGACTGGGCTCTCCAAGTCAACCAGTATCGTCGAAAATTCTTCCACCTCGTACTATCTTAAAACAAACATTACCAACGCAAACATTACCAAAACAGACATTACCAAAACAGGCATTACCAAAACAAACATCATCACCAACGCAAACATTACCAACGCAAACACTACCAACGCAAACACTACCAACGCAAACACTACCAACGCAAACATTACCAACGCAAACACTACCAACACAAACAACTGGACCATTTTCAAAGGTTATTAGTGAAGCGCATGCAGCTGAAATTGCTTCATGGATTGATAAAAGAACTGACATTTATTCTATAGCAAATAATCCTTACGAATTTAAATTACTTCTTCGTGGGAGCAGAGATGGTTTTACTGCAGATTCATTTTGGAATTTATGTAATGAGCAAAAAAATCTCGTAGTTGTTATAAAAGTCAAAGGAACTGACGAAATTCTTGGCGGATATAATCCTATTGGTTGGGAAAGACCAAGTACAAAATTTAGATATAAATCTTGCATTGATAGCTTTATTTTTTCATTAAAAAATGGAACCATCCAAAATTCTATTTTAAGTCGTCCAATTAGAAGTCTTTCAATTTATAATAATCCTGAATTCGGTCCGGTTTTTAATGGTAGTTTAGTTATGAAAGGTAATTTTAATCAAAAAGATAGATGTTATTGTGTTCGTAATACCTCATATATTATATATGAAATTCCAATTAGAAATATATCATTTTATATTGAAAATCGGTCAAATTTTTCGACAGAGGAGTATGAAATATTTCAGGTTCATAAAAAAATCTTATAAGTTATTCATACTTAAAATTGATTTAAAAAAATAATTTATATTCGAATTTTATACAAATACCAAATTAGTTTCATGTTTATTTTTTAGTGTTTGATGTGATTAATAACTTCTTTATAAAATCTTATAAATTAGAAGTTGTTATATAGAATAATATAAATTATTAATTATAAAGATAGTCCTCATTTTGAAAATTTTAACTATTGAAATAAAGGCTTATCTTTATTTTATTATTTAATTGCATAAATTCAAAAAAAAAAAAAAGATTATTAAAATTATTTGAGTATAACAATTTCATTTTTATGCAATTGGTTAAAGGTAGTCTTTACATAATTTAATTATTAAAATTACTTTGAGTATAACAATTCCATCTTTATGCAATTGGTTAAAGGTAGTCCTTATAAAAAATTCACTGTTAGTTTAAAGTTTAAAGATGACTGAAAAAAATTTAGTGAATATAAATTTATGTAAATATTTAACAGTTCATGAGTTTTATTTATTTAAATTTATATTTTTCACTATTATAAGGATGCATTTGTACATTGTAAAGAAAAAAATTTTTTATTTAAATTTACTGTGATATAATAACTATATTATTTTATGCCCTAATAATGCATATTCATTACATATCGAAAAGCATCGGTCGACTGGTTATGTACATAGTTGGATAAATACCGGCTGCCAAAGATGCCGAAAATAATTCAATTAAAGAACATGAAGTCCGCAAAACACATTATGAGTAATTTCAGTTAAGTAAATCTAACTTAAACGATGATATGTTCCCAGAAATAGCAAGTGAGATAGATTGCGCTAGGTATCATCGTAACAGTAGAAGTGGGAGAGGTAGGGTCGAGAAATTTTGTTTTTCGAAGACTATTGTTTCGAAATGGGAAAGAGCATCTTTATATAGTATATCGATTGTGGTCAGTGGCTTGTCTTTTACGTATCTCTGGCTTTGTGCTGATTTAACTTTGATCCCGACCCATGCATTTTATCTTGTGATCTGCGGATAGCACGGATAGCACGTGGAGTTGGGTTGACGATATACTATTTAAATCAAAACATAAAAATTCATCGAATTTTTTTGCGTAATAGAATAGATCCAAATTATAAAAAAAATAATAAATGAAAGAGCAATCTCAATGCTAATTTTAGCCAATCAGCTCAGCTTTATTTATAAAAAAATTTCCTAGTTTTTTTGACCTTAAGTGATAATCGCGATCAATTTTTTCAACCAATCAAATCGTTCGACAAACTCATCGAGGAAGGCGTTTGAGAATGACTTTATAAGGCTTTTTTATGGACTTGAAATATTTCATATTCCTCTGCTGAAAAATATGAAAAATTTTCAACATAATTTGATTTACTTCTAATAGATTTTTTATATACGTGTACAATATCTAAAGTATCGTAATAACAATAAAATTGATCATTTTGATCAAAATTATTTATATATAAACCACTACCACCACTACTACCACTACCAAAACCCGGACCCGAATTAAATTGATTATAAATTGCTTCGTTTTCTGATTGTTGAATTACACGACTTAAAATAGAATTTTGGATGGTTCCATTTTTCAATGAAAAAATAAAGCTATCATTGCAAGACGTACATTCCCAGAATCGTAAATTTGGTTTTTTCCAACCAATAGGGTTATATCCACCAAGAATTTCATCGGTTCCTTTAACTTTTATAACGACAACAAGATTTTCTTGCTTATTGCATAAATTCCAAAATGAAACTGCAGTAAAACCATCTCTGCTTCCACGAAGAAGCAACTTAAATTCGTAAGGATTATTTGCCATAGAATAAGTATCAGTTCTTTTATCAATCCACGAAGCAATTTCTGATGCATGTGCTTCACTAATAACTGTTGAAAATGGTTCACTTGATCGTGTTGGTAATGTTTGTGTTAAAATAGTGCGAGGTGAAAGAATTTTCGATAATATCTGTATATTTGGAGAAGCCAATCGCTTCTTTATATCTTTCCAAAGATTTTTATCAAGAATTTGCTTATAAGGATATACTCGATTATAAATATCTTCACCAGAAATTTGAAAGTATCTAATAAGAGGCAAACAGTTTTGTAAAGTAGTCTTTAGGGCTAGAAAATTTTCGGGAGACCAATCCTTAAAATCGGATGGTAATTCTGAATTTTGAGCAATTCCCCATCTAATAACGTAATTCCAAATTTTTACTTCTTCCATTTGTAAATCGTCTCGTTCAATAAGTGATACTAATGCATTTTCAGGAAGTGAAATAAAATAATCTGTCAAAAATTTGACTTGGATATTTTATTGTAATGTCATCGCACCATTTTTGTAATTCTTGAAGAATATTACTTTTGAAACTTTTTTGATAAATCTGAGCAAAATGTAAATGAAGCCAATGAGCTTTTTTTTCAATCAAATGAGTCTCAAGATATTTGGCTAATTCATCAAGAAGAAACTCGCAGGCAATAAGCATCAACTCAAAAATAAATGAAGTATCAAGATTTTGCAACAAAATCACACCTCCATAAATATATCTTTAAATCAAGTTGATAACGTTAAAAATATAGTCACAGTATTATAATATATAATACAAATCAAAATATTTAATAACTTAATAATGATTTCAAATTGTTGAATAGTAACATGTTTTAAATTAATCGTTTTAACATTACTGCTATTTTTCCCAATTTTCACTAGTTCATTATGAAAATATAATGATCGATTTATTAAAATAACAGAATGTGATTTAAATATCTTGAGATTGGGTAATTCACCAACGTTAATAATTACATTAAAATCCTCTTCATCATTAAGAAGTTCAATATAATCCTTCGAAAGTTTGTCAAGAAATTTGGTTTCCATTTCGAATTCAAAATGTAATACAGTGTTATTGATACTGCAGTACTGTATATAATAAAGCAATTGACATAATAGTACGATGTATATTGCACGTGAATTCGTTGCAAAAGGAGAATGAGCCTCAGATCGTCGCCGAGGTGGTTCTAGTAAATTGTCTGATGCGAACGTACGTACGTACGTACGTAGGTGAAAATGCATCATGATTCTTATTCAGCACAGATACTCTGCCAGGCAGAAATCTATGGTCACGAATGTGTGCTGTTCCAGTACCCATCATAAAATTTATTCTGTTTTCTCACTCTGTTTACGTAACTGTTTTTGTATAAAATACATTAATTTAAGAAATTATTTCATACTATTTATATTTATTAGTAGATTTTTTTCAGGTTAACCACTGTCAAAACCTCTCAACTAAATAATTACTAGCGATATAACCAAATCCGAATAGATTAATTTGAAACTTCTATCATAAATAATGATTAAGTCTTTTATATATTCTCTGACAATTTTTTTTAGATACAAAACAAGGATCATCTTTCTAATTAATAGTTTCAGCCTTATTCTGACAACTTATAATTTAATAGCATTTTACAAAGAATTTATTAATTATGTCAAATATTTTTTGAAATTATATAGTATAAGGTTCATTGGTATTTGAATATAAATTATTGTTTAAAAGAAAATAAAAAACCAAATCAATTTTAAGTATGGATGACCTATAGGGCTTTTTGATGAATATGAAATATTTTCATATTCCTCTGCTGAAAAGTCTGAATAAGATGATATATTTCTAATCAGTTTTCATATACAATATCGAGGCATTATAATAACTATAGCATTGATCACTTTGATTAAAATTATTATTCATAGAAAAACTATTACAAAAACTTGGGCCACAATCAGAACTATTATAAATTGCATATTCTGGTTGTTTAATTAAACGACTCAAAATAGTATTTTGGATGGCTCCTTTATTCAATGAAAAAATAAAGCCATAATTGCATTATTTATATGCTGTAAAGGCTGAATTTGGTTTCCAGGATTATATCTACCGAGAATTTCATCAGTTCCTTTGACCTTTATAACAACAACAAGTTTGTTTGTTTATCACAGTAAAACCATCTCTACTTTCACGAAGTAATTTAAATTCGTAAGAATTATTTGCAACAGAATAAGTATCAGTTCTTTTATTAATCAATGAAGCAATTTCTGCAGCATGTACTGTACATCACTAATAACTGTTGAGAATGGATCAGTTGTTCGTGTTGATAGTGTTTGTGTTAAAAAAGTACATCTTTGATAATATCCGTTGATCTTCGCTTCTTCCAAATGTTTTTATCAAGAATTTGTCTATAAGAATATACTTGATTATAAATATCATCACCAAGCATTTGAAAGTATTTAATAAGAGGCAAACAGTTTGTAAAGTAGTCCTTAAGGTTAATCCTTGAAATCAGATGGTAATTCAGAATTTTGAGCAATTCTCATTGATGACATATTCCTTTTATTTTATCTATTTGTAAATAATTCATTCGATAAGGGATACTAAAACATTTTCAGAAAGTGAAGTAAAATAATCGGAATCGAAATTTTGATTTGGATATTTTACTGTAAAGTCATTACACAATTTTTGTAATTATTGAAAAATATTACTATTGAAACTTTTTGATATGTGAGCAAAATGTAAACGAAGCCAATGAGCCTTTGATTCAATCAAATGAATCTCAAGGTATTTAGCTAATTCTTCAAGAAAGAACTCATAAGCAATAAGTAGTAGCTCAAAGATAAATGATGTTCCAACAAAATGACACCTCCATAGATATACAAAATTTATAAAAACATATAACGTACAACGTTATAAGAATACATTATCGTTATTTTAAATTAATCGGCATACAGTCAACCCCCTCTATAATCACACCTTTCGTTTACTTAATAACTTTTTTAAAAATGTGCTTATAAAGTGGTTGTGCTTATATAGAGGTAGTTTTTTATATGTTTAATAGTAATTTGTTTTTGAGTATAGAATGTGATAAAGGGGTGAAACAACACCCAAACATGT